TATAAGATATGATTATAGAATGAAAAAGCAAACTCAAATGTTAATTTATGGCAGATATTTCAGCAAAAAGTAGTATTAAAAAAGAAGTAAGTTTACATCATAAATTGTCAAATTAACAACCTGAATTAAGCAAGCTGGCTGTTTATTATCCTGCTGTAGTTTATTTTTTAAACAACCCTTCATCAGTGCAAGCTGCTTTAAAGGCTGAATGTTTCAGCTGAACTGCATGAAATGTTTAGTTAGTTCAGTCAGGTTTTAATTGGTCCAGGCGGTGATTATAGATCACAATAATAGCTGTTTTTAACTCTCTATGAAGGATGAGCTGGTTAGGATCATTAATCGTTCGGAAGAGCCGCATTTCATTTAAAACAATGTTTATGAATCAAGGTGGAGATATTAAATCGGTTTTTACTGGGATTAATAATGGGGTTTGTGGACTTAAACATAGAGAAGTAGAAATAGAGATGATGATGAAAGATTTGATGTGCTCTAGATGGAATAAAAGCTCATTTTGTTTTTGTTTTTACTCCAGTCTCATTGATGCCACCAACAAAGACGTGGATGTGCTGCTGCTCCTCTCAGATAAAGCCTACTATATTGCTTAGTAAGTCGGATCTAAACTCCACATTTCCTGTGGCATGTGCTGTAGAGACTGACTAATGCTTCCCTTTATTTACTCTCAGCTATGATGACGAGGCGGACAAAGTCAACCAATACCAGCGCCTAGACTTGGAGGGTTTGGAAAAGATTGAAATCGGTGAGGAGTTAGACTCAAATGTGTGCCCTCAGCTTCTCAGTAACCTTTTACCAATATCCTTACATGAATATGATTGAAAAAAGTCGATGTCGTCGTCTTGCAGGTCCGGAGCCCACTCTGTTCGGGAAGCCGAAGTTCTGCTGTATGCGTCTGCACTATAGGAGCCAGGAAACCAGCGGCTACTTCCACACGCTGAGAGCGGCGACGCGGAACCCAGAGGACGACGGAAAGGGTGACTAATCAAAGAAAAGGGAGGAGTGACCTCTTGCAGGCTGCTGATCCCTGACAGCTTGTTTGGACATTTTTCAGATACGCTGCAGTGCATAGCTGAGATGCTCCGCATAACCAAACAGGCCTCAGGGATGGAGCTGCTCGTGGTTGAGAAGAAGCTTGAGAGGCGAGTACTAATCATCAAAGAGTAATGCAGTTCATAAGAATTCATTCCAGGTTTTTTTTCATGTTTTGTTACAAACACAACTTTACACGGATTTTAGTTTGATTCCAATAGAAGGTAGGATATCTAGACGTCTGTTTGCCTTTAAAGGAAAATCCGGACAGCAAGAAATAATCAATGGATCATTTTTTATATTTAAAACGAATACGTTTGCGCTCATTTAATGACAGGGTTCCTGTGGGTCCTTAAAAAAGTCTTAAAAGGCATTGAATTCTTCAAACTAAAACTAAGGCCTTAATTGGTATTAAAATGTCTTAAATTAGTCTTTTGTAGGTCTTAATTTTTAAAACATCATAAATAGGATTATTTTTATTATGATTTATTTTTGTAATCTAAATAAAATATAAAAAAATGACCTTTTTTTTTATTATTTAAAAAATAACGGCTCGCCATTATTGGTTCCGTCCCGATAGCGGAACCAATAAAGCCTTGTTGCGGCCGGGACATTTGGGAGATGCACCATTAACTTTTTGTCTGGAAAATATGAGCAAGTGTAAATGTAACCAAAATTGTCTCCAGCCAAGAGTTTTCTCCATGG